AAATGGTCGATTAAATCGTTAAAAAAACTTCATTTCGAAAAATTGTATATACACTCCTATTACCCCGTCTTGGGTATCAGCGCCGCAGGCCTAGCTATATGTGCGCCAGGCGCGTCGCAGCGTAACAGTGTTTCGTGAGATATCGCGAAGCCTGTTACGCGAGACGTGGTCTGGCGTACATATAGCTAGTATCATTGGTGCTGAATTAACACTGCTAGTATTACACACATTACAAGGAACCTCCCGGTGACCATCAAGCTCAATTTCAGAGTCAGAAAGCTCTGTTAAATTAACAAAATCTGGAGTTTTGGTCACCGGTGGTTTTACATGAACTTTTTCAGTCTTCTCCTCAACCTCCATTCCCACCGTTTCAATGGAAGTTGATTCTAGTTTTCCGACTCTTTTTCTTTGTCCTTGGGGACATAGGGACTCTTGCCCTTGCTGGTAGAGGGTTGCTGGTCGTTTTTCTGGCTCAAAAACCACTGCATGGTGGCCTTGTAGAGGTCGGGTGGTACATTGGGCATGGCGAAGCCTGAGCTTCCCTTGCTGCTGCCAGCTCCACTCCGGCAGTTCCGCGCCATATGACCCTTTCTGCCACAAGTGTGACAGACTATGTCTTCTATGGGGGTCCTGCCTTTGTTGTGCCAACAGTTAGCGGCTCTGTGGCCTTTCCTGTTGCACACGTGGCAAACCATGTCCTTGTCCGACTGGCCTGACCAGCCTCCTCTACCTCTATTTGAGCCTCGCCCTCCTCCTCTCGGTCCTCTGCTGCCGCGACCTCGGCCTCGGCCGTGCTGGGTTTGAGCGTCTGCCTTGGACGTGGAAGCTGAGCTGGAGGGGAAGACCATGTTGACCTTGTAGGTCTTCTCCTCTTTAGCTTCGTCCTTTTCCTCAATCTCTCCTTCCTCCTTCTCTTCTGTCTTGGTGAGACGGACTCTTTTGGCCGGAGGTTCTTCCAACTGGAGGCTTAGACCCCTATTGAGGGTCTTCAGGGCCTCGTCCAGGTTGGGCAGAGCTGCGAATGCCAACCGGGATGCTGCCTTCTTGTCCGCTAGGCCCTTGATGAATCTCTCTCCCAAGGCCTCTTGGATATCTTGTTCCTTCATATTGCGAAGGTACGCTCTTCCCAACCTTTCCACTTGACGGGAGAATTGTCTGACAGTCTGGTCTTTCTCCTGTGTGAGCGTGTTGAAATCCTTCTTTCGCTCCCACATGGAGGCGGACCTGCCGAAGGTTCGGATTAGCGCCTCGTCCAGACTCTCGTAGGTGATCGGCACTTCCTGGTGCTTGAGGTTGGCGATCACGTCGGTGGCATTCCCTGTTAGGGCTTGGATCAGGGCCGTCTTGCGGTCCTGGATGTTCCAGTCGTTGGCCTCCGCGACCGTATCAAATTGGATTTGATAGATTGTATAGTCTGTTTCACCGTCGTACTTCGGTGCCTCATTGTACTTTTTGGGTTTGTTATGACGCACATGACGCACGGTCCTGGCCATCGCTTCCAGGAATCTTGCGAACAGCTGATCTTGCGGCGGCTCCTGTGCCTGCTCATGCTCGTGCTCGTCATCAGCGTCTTCCTCGGCATCGTCGTACTGCCCGTGGCCTCCGCCCCAGTGTCTCCTCCGTCCTGCTCGGGCGTGTCTCGGGCCATGTTGATGGTGCTCCCTTTCTGGCCGCTCCAAGTTGTACGGTGCCCACCGGCGGCGAGGTCTCCCGTACTCTCGGTCTGGGCCCTGGAGTTCGTCCTGCTCATATTCATCATCAAAATCTTCCTCTTGGACTTGTTGTCCCTGGTGCGCGGCGGCGCCTTGACGCACTTCGGCGCCCTGCTGCTGTTCTTGGTCTACTTATTGCTGGCCTTGCGGCGCTGGCCCCGCACCTTGAAGTGCTTCTCCCTCCTGTCCCTCTTCACGAAAACGTCGGGGTGGTCGTCGTTCTCGGTCTCCTCTGCGCTGCTGTTGTGCACGTTGAGGGCCGTTGTCTTCCTCGATAACGAACTCCATGATACGTTCACGGTATCGCCCGCGTCCTCGTCCACGCCCACGTCCGCGTCCTCGTCCTCGTCCACGGCCTCGACGTCTACCTCGGCCTCCTCCTCGTCCGTCATACACATGCGCGGCCGGGAATTCGACCATGTTGACAGCCTCTGGTTGTACGGCTTGAGCGCCCTGCTCAGCCTCGGACTCGAGTTCGGTGTCCGTGTCTGCGTGGAGCGCCATTGCGTCCATGGCGACGTTCTGCTCGTCCATTCAGGATCAAGGTTCTCCTTATTTTCTTTTAAACTTAGGTTTTCAATGTCCGGTAGGTGCGTATGTCGAGCAACACGTCTTAACATACCGTCCGTTTCGGAACTGATAAACTCTCAGGACTTCCCTACTACGACTGAACTATAACCTCAAAACGCACTGGTGCACTGTATGACGTTCGTAGGTCTCAGGCAACAGACACGTTTAGACTATCTCCACCTAGGCGGCCTTGGGCCTGCTTCGGTGTCCTTCAGCTGACCTAGTGGTCACGCAGAAGTCCCTTTTTATCTACCTCGGCTGACCTAGTGGTCACGCTGAAGTCCCTATCTATCTACTTCGGCTGACCTAGTGGTCACGCTGAAGTCCCTATCTATCTACTTCGGCTGACCTAGTGGTCACGCTGAAGTCCCTATCTATCTCGGCTGACCTAGTGGTCACGCTGAGTCTAACCTCTAAAAGTGCCTTTCGGCTTCCTCGGCTGACCTAGTGGTCA